CTGCCGCGTTTTCCGGCTCGGAGCTTTTCTGGAAAAAAGCAACAGTCTAGACGCAGATCTTTCGGAAAATAAAGCCTTTAAAATAAGGAATAAGGGATCTTTCGGAAAAGGCTTTCTTTTCTGAAAGATCCACGTCTAGATAGGCGCTTTTTTCCGGCAAAGGTCCGAGCTGGAAAAAAGCGGCAGTCATTTTTATGCTAATGAAGCGGGGGGATTTAAATCCCCGCTTCATTTGCAATTGCGATGTGTCTAATTTGCATCCCTTTTACGAAAAAGGGATGCAGTCTAGACATAGCCAATGAGAAATGCTCTCTTCAGTGAAGTCTGTGGCAAAACTCCTCATTTCGATGGAGCCAAGATTTCAACTTTCGGGCAGATGTTTCAAAAGTGTCCACTAATTTTGGGTGCCTCCATTTTTGGAACACCCAGTCTGACATGTGGCATCCCAGTCACTGCAAGTGTGCAATATATAGAATTACATTTATCTACCCCACGGGGACATTGTGTGGCCTGATGAAAATAATTCTGGTAAAGTTGTGTCTTAGTCCAGTGCATTATGAAGGCAAAAATCAGACTAGAAGTCATTAGTTCTGGTTCCCAGACCCACCTACGGGGGGGTGCAAAGGGAACGGTTGTCCCAGGGCTGGGTGATTCTAACGGGCTACTGCTACGGCGGCAGGAGCATCAGCTGGAGCCACAGACCCTTTAGAATCGCCACTGAAGCATTGGACGGTGTGCTCCAGAGCACCCTACCGCATTCTCCAGCTGGCTCTGATGGGGCACTAGCCCCACCCCTTCTGCCTGAGGCTCCGCCTCTTCCATTCTGTCAGGCACCTTGCCAGCTCCTCAGATCCATATAGCCACACTACCGAGTGCATTACTCTCTCACCACTGGACACTCCACAATGCATCCAGAAATTGACTGCCCTCTCCAAAATTTCCAGGTGGGATTTTTTGTAGCAAAAATAAACAAACTGCTGTAGTTTCATTAAACATATCTGTCTCACAAATAGACGATGATCGCTGAAAACACATCTCCTGGCACACGATTTTCAGCACCCTGGACATAGCTGCAAGAAGGCAAATATGCAGAAGAAGAAAACAAGACAGTATACTAACCCCAGCCAATCAAAATGAACCACCACACATACTGTTTGCCAGAAACAAAGGTCAACAGCAGCAGTGTTTGCAAGTACATCCCTTCTACCAGGAGCCAGAAGAAGTTGGCTAGAATGCTGAACTGAAAAAACACCATTGCAACCTTACATCCAACCTAGAGACACATAGGAAAAGGAGAATATTAGCTGCAGTCTCTGAAATCAGTCACCTTGCAGGCTCTGGGGAAAAGCTGGAAAACTTTGAACCAAGAGCAGTATGCCTTTACACAAGGTCTGATCCAAAACCTACTGAAGTCAGTAGAGGATTTATCACTGATACCTGTGGGGTTTGGATTATACCCATAGATTACATCCAAAATGGATTATACCCATAGATTAAATCATGAAAGTGAAAATTTGCGCTCTATTGTGGGCCAAACTCACTGCTGATGTAAGCGGATGCAATTCCACTAAAGTGAACAGAGTTGCGCTCTTGTACACCAGAGCTGAGTTTGGTCCTTGGCATTTCTTTCTGTGTCTGTGATGTGATTTGCGACTTTGGTAGACTGAGGGTTGTGTAAGAATTGCAAGCTATCGCTTTAAAAGTTTGAAGGTTTTCCTGATTCTGCTTACAGACTAGGGGGTCTTTGAAGGAAAACATGCAATCTGGGCCTATCGGGGTCAGTCTGAGGCGAGACAGCCTTCAGCAGTGGCTCCTAACCTTTTCGAGCATACGGACCCCTTTTCAATCTATTAACATTTTATGGACACCACCCTCCCCGCCAAAAAAGAATATAGCTGTTTTCAAACAATCCATTACTCGATAATCATTTGATGTATTCACGTCACGTGATGCACTCTTGTACACCAGAGCTGAGTTTGGTCCTTGGCATTTCTTTCTGTGTCTACCCTACGGGGACATTGTGTGGCCTGATGAAAATAATTCTGGTAAAGTTGTGTCTTAGTCCAGTGCATTATTCAGGCAAAAAATCAGACTAGAACTCATTAGTTCTGGTTCCCAGACTCATTAGTTCCGGTTCCCAAACTATAACAGAGTTTAAAGAGAAGCTAGATAATTTCATGGAGGTTAGGTCCATAAAAGGCTATTAGCCAGGGGATAGAAATGGTGTCTCTGGCCTCTGTTTGTTAGAGGCTGGAGAGGGATGGCAGAAGACAAATCACTTGATTATTGTCTTTGGTCCACCCCCTCTGGGGCACTTGGTGCTGGCCACTGTCGGCAGACAGGCTACTGGGCTACATGGACCTTTGGTCTGACTCAGTATGGCCGTTCTTATGTTCTTATGTATGTTCTTATGTGATCATGGAACTAAATATTTATTTATAATTACACAATATACAAATATTTATGAATTAAAATGCATAAGTGTTTTAAACACTGTACATTCATTTTAATTTCTACATTAAACTTTCCACGGACCCCCTAGACTACTGTCATGGACCACCAGGGTCCTGCAAACCACAGGTTGGGAGTCGCTGGCCTACAGTAAAGTAGTGTGAGATGTGCCTCTCTGTTTTAGGGAGCGTTCCATTTGGTCTCTGGGTTTTTTTTGGTGTGTCAATTATTTAAATTCTATTCAGTAAACTAGTGCCACCTTGCAACCCTCCAGAAAGACAAAAACATAAATACTCTAACTTCTCTGTGCAATACCATGAGCATAACAGTATCTGGAAGGATGATGATTTCGGATCTATTTTTTCCCATAAAACAAACAAACAAAAACCCAGACAGAACCAGGAAATCTCAGTGTCACCTCTGTAACAAGGATTAGCCAGCTACACCAAATACTGCGGGTGTGGGGGAAGGATATTGATACCGTTGACATTAAGCAGTGGTCCATATTTTCATCAGCAAACAAAACAGCATCTTTAATGAAAACAGCCACGGCTCTGAGGATGAAAGAGACAAACAGGTGCATGTGGATGTAATTCCGTGTACAGTGGAATTTTCTGAAATGAGAAAATAGAAAGGAAAAGCCTTCTTCAAAGAGCAGTCCTCCCCATTTAAACAGCCCAAACAGGAAGACCTTCTGTCTTTAGACATCACGCAGCGAGTCAAAACTAGCACAGTCGTTCCCTGTCAGCCTGGAACCTAAGACGCCATCTTTAGAAGCAAAGCAATAGATTGGCTCATTCTCTCTGTTGTTGGGCCCTTACCCCTATCACTATGGAGACTGACAGTTGTGGTGACAGTTTTATGCCTATCCACTGGGAAACCGGCTGAGGCAATTATGGCTTGATTCAGTGCTTATTGTAGATGCCTCCTTTTGATTCCAATGGCTATTGGATTGGCTTCTCATTGCATAGGACACTGTGTTGATGTTAAATAACAATAACTTCCGTTCATGAATACCCAGAGATGGATTGGTACTAGTGGCCTAAAGCAAAAGGTTCTGTTTCCTATCATTCCAAATCAGCACATATAAGACCACAACAATGTCCATACTAGATAAGACCAATGGCCCATCTAATCCAGTTTCCTATCTTCCAACAATGTCAAATGCCATCAGTGAAAATGAGCAGAACAGAGCAATTATCAAGTGATCCATCCCCAGTTCTCCAGTTCCAGCACTTGGCAGTCAGAAGTTTAGGGACAGCCAGACCATGGGTTTGCACCCTTGACCATGTTGGCAAAGAGCCATTGCTTGACCTATTAACGTATCTAATTCTTTTTTGGATGTGCAGTTTCTTTTCCCCCAATCTCTATGTATAGCTCCCGTAATCGGCAGTGGATGGTACGGGCACAGCTGAGGGGAATTTATGGAAATAATGTCTTTGCCAAACATGGGAAAAGTAGTATCAGAAGGGTAGCCATGTTAATCTGTAATTTTAAAAACAACTAGTGGGCTGTGCCCCGTGACCGCTACACTCACCTACCCCCCTCTCTCTGGCCACTTTTTCAGCCAGAGAGCATGAGAACATGATAACATCATTCTGTTGCACGACAGGAAAAACTTTTATATAGAGAGAGAGATAAGACGAGCAGTCCTGTGTTGCCTTAGGGTATGTCTTCACTTGCACCCTCTTTTGAAAGAGGGATGCAAACAAAGACATTCGAAATTGCAAATAAAGCCAGGATTTAAATATCCCATGCTTCATCTGCATATTCACGTTATGGTGCAATTTTGAAATAGGGCTATTTCTCAATATCAGACGCTGTTAAGACGCGGTTATTTCAAGAGAAAACCCTTCTCTCGAAATAACCCTTATCAATATCAGACACTGTTAAGACGTGGTTATTTAACCCTTCTCTCGAAATAACCCTTATTCCTCATACAATGAGGTTTACCAGTTATTTCAAGAGAAAGGGTTTCTCTCGAAATAACCACGTGTTAACAGCGTCTGTTATTTCGAAATAGCGCTATTTCGACATAGTGCCATCACGAGAATATGCAAATAAAGCACGGGATATTGCCATCATGAGAATATGCAAATAAAGCACGGGATATTTAAATCCCGGCTTCATTTGCAAGTTTGAATGTCTTAAGTTGCATCCCTCTCTCGAAAGAGGGTGCAAGTGTAGACGTACTCTTAGGGTATGTCTACACTACCCCGCTAGTTCGAACTAGCGGGGGAATGTAGGCATACCGCAATTGCAAATGAAGCCCGGGATTTGAATTTCCTGGGCTTCATTTGCATAAGTGGGGCACCACCATTTTTAAATCCCCGTTGGTTTGAACCCCGTGCAGCGCGGCTACATGGGGCACGAACTAGGTAGTTTGACCTAGGTTTCCTAGTTCGAACTACCGTTACTCCTCATTCCACGAACCGTATGAGAACTGTGAGACCATTGTGAGGTGATTATGACACAAGCCATTGTCTCATTAAAAAAAAGAACAATTCTAGGAGGAAGAACGAGTGGGGACACATTCAGATCTTATGTTTTAAAGTCTTCTGGGAAATACCACATAATAAGTAAAGGAGAATAAGTTACCATGTCTGTGATAAAATGCAAAAACTGGAAAAAAAAGAATCATGGGGGTGACAAATAAAAAATGAGAGAATTAGGATGAAGATGAACATTGTTTCTAAATACCTCAAAGGCCACGGTGAGCGTTTACCTGAAGATGGCAAAGATAACAAGAGCTGTAATGAGCGAAGTCAAAGATGTCGCATAGCCAGCAGTGTAGACATGCCAAAATGCTGAATAATATGATTTCTACGAGAAGAAAAGACACAGAAATATCGATCAACGTGCAGCATTCATCCCAGTGTGCTTGTTTTACTAAGATACAATTTCTTTTGGCAGATAGTTAGAAAAGAAGCAGTATTGTCTTTTGTTGCTTACCCCACTTCTCTTCACAGCCATCTCAGCCATATAATATACATTACGATGGATAGCTCCAAAGTTCTTTACAGTGGATTGGGCTTTACACAAGGATATGGGGAGACATAAGTTCTAGCGTTGGCTCTGCAAGTGATCTTCTGGGTGACCTTGGGCAAAGCAGTGCCCCCTCCTCTGTGCCTCAGTTTCCTCACCAGGAAAGTGCAGATAATTATTCGGGCTGGCTAGAAACTTTCCCTTGAAACTAGTTTCAGCAACAAAGTGGGGGAGGGGGCTTGATACTTTCTTATGAAGTGTCTATACTCCAGGGATTTTTTCTTTCCAGTTCAAAAACCAAACAACTTTCCAACCAAAATGAGAAAAAAAATCAGGCTGAAAAATATCAGTATTTTGACAAACATTCAAATTTGCCCCACTTATTTCCCGACGAGACTTACCTTCTGCCTCCCCCGTGGTGTAAAGTGCTTTGATGTGCATCCATGTGCTACATGGGCCCAATACAAAGCCCTTTGACGCTACCGGAAGGACTCTGGGTTTTGAAACAGTCACTCAAAGAGCTAAGTATGGTTAAGGAAGGTCTTGGTTCCAGGGTTTATAGTTGCAACACAAACCAAGGGATGTCTGGCAGTTGCACTTCATTGATTTGAAGCACCAGTGTTTGGAAGCATGTGGATAAAAGCACCTCACTCTGGCCTGTTCCAAGTCCTCAGTGAAAATCTAATGGTTCAAGGGTCTGAACTTTTCCAGCTCCCATTGAAGCAGATGGGAGGTGCAGTTATCAGCATGTCACAAGGGTTCAGTGCCTTGCAAATAGGGTTGCCAGATGGTTTAACCAAAAATACCAAACATTCCTTTCCCCCCCCCCAAAAAAACCTCACTGGGGAAAAAATTCTGGTGTGAAAAAAATATATTTTTTCTTAAAAAAAGCCATTAAGAAATGCTTTTGAGGCTTTTTGGCCCTAACAGGCTGCCAGTAGCTGTCTGCCATCTTGTCTCCCTTCTCTGGGCCAGACAGCACCCCTGCGGAACCTGGTAAGCACACGGGATTTTTTCCTTCTGGCCGGGAAAAAATCAAAAAATTCCGGACATTTTAGGTGTTCGGTATTTTCAATTTTTTTTACTGGAGAGGAGGCAAAAATACGAGACTGTCTGGGTCGATACTGGACACCTGGCAACCCTACTTGCAAATTCCATCACTGATAATCATCTCCATAGCTAGGACCAGATGAAGGGTCCATCTGACCTAATGGGAGTCTAATGAACTGGAAAGGGCTTTGGATAAAGCCTCTAGAGAGTAGGTAGAAGCAAAAAGTAAAGCGCCCATTTTACAGATGAGGGAACTGAGACATAAGTGACTGATCCAACACAACACAATGAGTTGCTTTTCTGAGCGCTGACACAGATTCCTTAATTCCTAGTTTCAAACTCAACCTACGAAGGGTATTTCTGTATTGCAATCAGAGCCTTGACGGCAACATCCCTATGTATACCTCAGCTAGCCTGGATTATCAATAGCAGTGAAACCATGGCTGCACAGACTAGCTGCTCAAGAATGTAACCAAGGTCCTGGGTGGACTGGTTGAGCCTGTAGCTTCACTGCTGTTGTTCAAACTAGCAAGATCACAGCTAGCCCTCTGTTGGTCTAGATGTGCTGAGGTCGCACCTCGGACGGCTGTGCAGAGGACCGCACGTGATAGTGCAATACTACTACGTTCAGTTCGACGTGTTGATTACTGAGGTTTCCTATATTCTAAGGATGCATCATTGAGCTTGGCCTGTGCAAATGGTTTTGAGTGTCACTACAAGACCAGCTGATTATTCCAAATACCAAGTAACCAAAATCCATGCAAGTGCCAATTCACTCTAACCTTGTATATCAAGAGAGTATGGAGCTGCCAGCAACTCAAGGCTGAGATTTAGTGGGTCTAGTAAACTGACCAATGATGGTGCCCCATCAACCAACCCTGGTTCTCCACGGAGTCACAAGGAGAGGAGGAGTTGATGGGAGAGATTGACTTCCTGCAAAGGGGACACTGCAGCAATTCGACTTAAGGTACGTCGACTCCAGCTACGCTATTCTTGTCGCTGGAGTTCCGAATCTTAAGTCAACTTTCTCCCCCAGTGTAAATCTGGCCTGAGTAACTTGCTCCAAGCCACACAAGAAGTCCATGGCAGAGTAATGACCTGCTGCCAGGTTTCCTACAGACCCAAATCTCAGGACCTTCCTTTCTATCTTCAGAGTCTCTGGATCTGTAATTTAAAAGGAAGCCATATAAGCTTCCCCTGTAGAAGCAAAGGGTTAGAAGATCTTCTCCAGCCAGATGGATACAGGACACAGCAAGCCAGACCTCCCTCTGTGAAGATCCTTTCAGCACAGGATGAGGGCCCCATAACTGAGTCCTCAAATTGCCACCCTGCATGGTATCACCCCCAGCCCCCATATGGCTTAGACAAAGGGACCATATGACAAAGGAGTGCAAAACCCCTGCTAACCCTAGTACCCTCCTTATTCCTGACACCCCCATCTATGCTGAGGCTGGGTTGCAATAGTGTAGGGGTCACCTCAACTGGCTTCCTCTCCAGCACTCAGGGAAGTCTCGGCTAGACAGTACAGTCAATATCCAGCCCTTTGCAGCACCTTTGTAGCGTCAGATTGAGGGAGAGAGTCTGGCTTATGTATACCCAGCATTCCTCAAGTTCTTTTCATGGGGGTAGTTCTGGGTTTGCTTCTACTCATGCATCGGCAATCCGAAACTGACCTGATCTTCGGGGCCTTTACTGGAACCTTCATCAAATCCGCAGGCAACAGAATACGGTGGGTACGGTTCTGACCAATGTGCCTCTTGTGTACAGTTTCTTTGCAGGAACCCTGAAACAGTGACACACCTCAGCAAGCAACCCATGTAGTTTAGCACTGACAAGAAACAGCCTATTTTTATTCCTAAAATCCTCAGATTGATTTTGTTGATTCTTGTGGATGTGCTCATGACTCTTGGCAAGATTAGGGACAGAATTAAAGCTATCTTGTGCAAGGGTGAGATAAGTAACCAAATGAACAGGAAATTAACAAAGTCGCTTCCTAGGCTATAGGAAATGCATACTGTGAGCTCAATTTTTATACAACAGCACCATAGTCATGCATCCAAATGGTGCATGTCAGACTCAGCTTAAATATTTAGACATAGGGTCCTACCAAATTCCTGGCCATGAAAAATGTGTCGTACTGTGAAATATGGTTTTGCTCCATGAAATCTGGTCTTTTGTGTGCTTTTATCCTATTCTATACAGATTGTGTGGGGAGACTGGTATTTGTCCAACTGGGGGTCCAGACCCAAAAGGGAGTTGCCTGTGGGTCACAAGGTTATTTTAGAGGGGTTGCGGTATTGCCATCCTTACTTTTACACTACTGCCTGCAGAGCTGGGCAGCTGGAGAGTGGAGCTGTTGGCTGAGTACTCAGCTTTGCAGGCAGCAGCACAGAAGTAAGGGTGACAATACAATTCCATCCTTACTTCTCCATTGCTGCTGCTGGTGACTATGTCTTGAGAACTGGGACACCAGCCGCTGCTCTCTAAGGCTACAGCTACACTGCCGTTTTTTTGCCAGAAGAAGATATGCAAATTGTGTTTACATTTGCATATTTTCTCCTGATTATTTTTGCGGAAGAGGTTTTGCTGCTATTTGGCCCCATGTTGACAGGGCCAAATGTCGGGGGAAAAGCCCTCTTTCTCAAGACCCCTGATTCCTCGTAAATTGAGGTTTACAGGGTCTTGCAAAAGAGGGGAGGTTTCCGATATTTGGCCCTGTCTTCCAACCTCTTCCACAAAAAGAATCAGAAGACGATATGCAAATGTGAGCGCAATTTACAAATCTTCTTCTGAAAAAAAAGGCACTGTAGTCGTAGCCTAACTGCACAGCTCTGAAGGCAGTACTGTTGCCTGCAACAGTGCAGAATTAAAGGTAGCAGCACTGCAACCTCCCCTGCAATAGCCATGCAATGTCTCCGCAACTCCTTTGTGGGTCAGGACCCCTAAAATTACAACACTGTGAAATTTCAGATTTAAATAGCCGAAATCATGAAATGTATGATTATTAAAATCCTAGGACTGTGAATTGACCAAAATGGACCATGAATTTGGTAGGGCTCTAGATGTAGAACGAACCAGTTTATTAGACACAGACAGTGGGACCAACATGACTATAACAACACTTCATACCCACTATGTGGCAATAATAATGTAACTCCCTTTTTCCTCCCTGGGTTACTGGGGAGCAGATCACATTCACATGTATGCCTAGGTGCCTGATGTTTTTAACAAAAAAGGAGATCCTGAGTACCCCAGTGGTGATGTTGTTTAGTTGGGGATTTCCTATCCAACCCCTTGCTGCAGTCCCTTGCTCCTAAAGGAATATTCATTGGCAGTGCCTCCACCTGGCCGGCCCTGTACACACTTAGGGTATGTCTAGACTGCAGGCTTCTTTCGAAAGAGACTCTTTCGAAAGCATCTTTCGAAAAAGCCTCTTTCGAAAAATCGCGTCTAGACTGCAGGCGGATCTTTCGAAAGAGAAATCCGCTTTTTCGAAAGAGAGCACCCAGCGAGTCTGGATGCTCTCTTTCGAAGACGGCCTCTTTACATTGAAGAACGCCTTCCTTCGAAAGAGGAACTTTCGAAGGAAGGCGTTCTTCCTCGTGAAACGAGGTTTACCGCCATCGAAAGAAAAGCCGCGTTCTTTCGAAATAATTTCGAAAGAACGCGGCTTGAGTCTGGACGCAGGGGAAGTTTTTTCGGGAAAAGGCTACTTTTCCCGAAAAAACCCCTGAGTCTGGACACGGCCTTAATGGTGAGCCTTGAGAGCCTCCAGGAATAAACTTATTCCAGTAATAATCTGGATCTAACTTCAAAACAATAATGATAAATAATACATACATGTAATTGATTAAATTAGAATTAACACACCTTTACATAACATAAAGGAATAGGGTACAACAGATTAAAAGTGAATAAAATCAATTAAAGTTCACAGAAAGAAAGGAAACTTATCTATCTACACTGCCACCATTTATCCCACCCCAGAGTGTGTACTCCTCAGGATTCGGAGTCCCAGACACTTGTTTGCATGGGCAGCTGGAGTGGAGACAGCACTGTGCAGGTTCTGCGTGTGTCAGTCCAAGCTAAGCAGTAAGCTACAAAATTCCTCTGCCACTGGAGCAGGCTCCACCAAATACCAGCAGCTCTGGTTCTCTGAGCTGGTCACTCTGCCTCTCTTTGGACCCACAGTCTTCTGTGTTCCTCCCACGCAGCACTTTTCCAAACAGCCACAATGACTCACAGTATCTTCTATGCAGAGTGATGTAGGCCCTTCTCAGCCACAAGCACAGTAAGGATCTATCCCGTCTAGGGACAATCAACAGTCCCTGAAGCAGCCTGCTGGATCCAGGCGGCAGCAGGCTCTCAGAAACAGGCTCTAGCTGCAACACAACAGCTCCTGGCCTGGAAAAGTCTCTCCACCAGCAGCCTGACTCCTGGCTGCAAAATGGAGCTCACCTATCTGTCTGCATAGCCTGGAAAAACCACCATTCCCTCCTTTTTTCCCAAGGACTCTTGGGAGTTGTAGTCTCTAGGCTAGATTGCAGCACAAAGGATCCTCCCAGTAAAAGTCAGAGGCTTCTTTAGTAAAGGGACTACATTAACAATATTTTTGAATTTCTATAGTTTGTTTTAATCAGTATCTCAAAGCTCCTATAATTTTTGATCACTTCCAAGACTGAAAAACTTAGCTCCTCTTAGCACCTCGAGAAGTTAGGGTAGTATTAATCTCTCCATTTTACAGAGGGAGACACTGGGGCTGTGTCTACACTGGGCCACTTATTCCGGAAAAGCAGCCGCTTTTCCGGAATAAGCTGCGAGCTGTCTACACTGGCCCCTTGAATTTCCGGAAAAGCACTGATGACCTACTGTAAGAAATCAGCTGCTTTTCCGGAAAAACTATGCTGCTCCCACTCGGGCAAAAGTCCTTATTCCGGAAAACTCTTCCGGAAAAGGGCCAGTGTTGACAGCACAGTAGTCTTTTCCGGAAAAAAGCCCCGATCGCGAAAATGACTATCGGGACTTTTTTCCGGAAAAGCGTGTCTACATTGGCCAAGGACGCTTTTTCGGAAAAAGGGCTTTTCCGGAAAAGCATCCTGCCAATGTAGACGCTCTTTTTCCGGAAATACTTATAACAGAAAAGTGTTCCGTTTTAAGCATTTCCGGAAAATCATGCCAGTGTAGACGTAGCCTAAGGCTATGCCTGCACTGCCCCACAGTTTGGACTACTGGGGTAAGAATAGCCGGGTGCTCCAAAGTACAACACTGTAACTCCCCCATGTGGATGCTGCAGACTAACAGGTTCCTAGTTTACAATAATGTAATTCAGTTTGAAGAGGACTAGGCTAAAGAAGTCGTTAGTGGCTTGCTCAAGGTCACAGAGGACCTGCAGCAAAGTTAGGACAAGAAACCAGGAATCCTGACTTAAAGAATCCAACCATAAGACCATCCTTCCTCTCTTTTACACCAGGGCTGTGTCTACACTGGCATGAATTTCCGGAAATGCTTAAAACGGAATACTATTCCATTTTCAGTTTTTCCGGAAAAGGAGCGTCTACATTGGCAGGCTGCTTTTCCGGAAGAGCCCTTTTTCCAGAAAAGCGTCAGTGACCAATGTAGATGCGCTTTTCCGGAAAAGAGCCCCAATCGCCATTTTCGCAATCGGGGCTTTTGTCCGGAAAAGACTACTGGGCTGTCTACACTGGCCCTTTTCTGGAACAGTGTTCCGGAATAAGGACTTATGCCCAAGCGGGAGCAGAATAGTTTTTCCAGAATAGCGGCTGATTTTGTACAGTACAGCATCGTTGCTTTTCCGGAATTTCAAGGGCCAGTTTAGATAGCTCGCAGCTTATTCCGGAAAAGCTGCTGATTTTCTGGAATAAGTGGCCCAGTGTAGACACAGCCCAAGATAGAAAAATGTGTGTGGTCACTGATATTTTGTCTCCCACCCTTTCAGTGACACAAATGATGTCACTAGTTTAGCATGCTACACCCCACTGATTGTCACAGCATTTGTCTTTTATTTTTAAATGGTGAGAGCTGCCCACATTTTTTTTCCAGTGGAATGTTTCACTTTTGGAAAATGCCATTTCATCTCTATGGAAACAGTGCAGGAATCTGTTGATTTGGATGAAATTTCTTTTAAGAAAAAAAACCATTAAAAAGAAACATTTAAATCTTGTTAGAATGGAACATTTCAATTTTTCGATTCAAAATGACAATCAATTTTCAAATATGTATTTAAAATATGAATTATAATAGAAAATTTAAAGAGTCCAGATGTGAGTGAAACATTTCAAGTTCCTCAAAGTGGAACATTTCCCATGACCCACAAGTACTTTTTGACTCAAAACTTATTTTCATGAGAAATTTCAATCTCTCTTTTTTTTTCCAACTTGAAACAAAAATAACATTCAAACGACCAGAATTTTCCATGGAACACAAATTATTACTTTCCACCAGTTCTAATTATAACTTGATCTGCTTTCAGATTTGGTTCATTAAGTATGGAATTCTTTTAAAAGGGACTATTCCTTTGAGTATGCTTGGGGCCTTTTATTTTTCACATAAATTCAAACAAAACCTTTTCAGATGCAGTTATAATCTACAGCATGTTCATGCTGGAAATGGTTTCGGTATTCCAAATTTTGAATACTACTAAAATGGGCAAAATTATGCCCATAGTTTTCTTTTTGTTTAGCTACTGTGCATAAGGGCCAAATATGTTATGTGTATTTGTGAATGTAGTGCCTGTTACTTTTAATACCATTACAAGAACCAGAGCATGGACAAAATAATGGCAAAAATCATTCTTTCTTGACTTTTCCTCATCACCTCACACATGACTGTGATCGGAGCAGAGCAGAATGGGTGAAGGAATTGTGAAGGTATCGCTATCCAGGTGGAGGTATTCATGTACTGAAGGAGAGCAAGGTTCATTTACTCCACTATCTGGCCATGGACATTGGTGCATGTGGGATGCATGAAAAACGCCCATCCTCCCCTTCATCCCCGCAAAAAAATGTGCCTAATGAAGGTATGTAACCATAAAAAAAAAATTCTTCCTGACACTGATAGTCTTATGATGCATCAGTGTGGATTGCCTTAGTATCTTAGCCATTATATATATTTTAAACAGTGAGGAATATTAATAATAGGAAAAACAATTCTTGCCATGTATGTTGGTGATTTCTTCAAAAAAAAACGGACATGCAACTTTTACCACTTCTCCAAAAGCGGCTTTGGGCCAGCAGCTCAGTCCGTCCCAAAATACTGGGCATCCTAGAAAGACAAAAAATCTGAAGTCAAGGAGATGCCTTCAGAATGAGACATTTCAAACATCTTGCAATTGCATATAAAAAGATTTCCCGGGTCTTTATCAGCAGATCATGTACAACACTCAGCTACAATTTTTACTTAGCCCAGATTCACAATGGCCAGGTCTGAGGTTGGCAGACCAGGTGCCAGCACTTGCTAAGGCTTTACATGTGTGCAGGGATGGGTATTGGGGTTATAATAATGTCTTTAGTGTTTAAACTTTATGAAATGCTTGCTCGTTGCTGCATGCATTCATGATAGAGGTCTATAAAATCATGAGTGGTGTGGAGAAAGTGAATAAAGAAAAGTAATCTACTTGTTCCCAAAATATAAGAACTAGGGGCCACCAAATGAAACTAATGGGCAGCAGGTTTAAAACAAATAAAAGGAAGTTCTTCTTCACACAGCGCATAGTCAACCTGTGGAACTCCTTGCCTGAGGAGGTTGTGAAGGCTAGGACTATAATAGGGTTTAAAAGAGAACTAGATAAATTCATGGAGGTTAAGTGCATTAATGACTAGTAGCCAGTAGGGGTAAGGAATGGTGTCCCTGGCCTCTGTTTGTCAGAACGTGGAGATGGATGGCAGAAGAGAGATTGCTTATGTTCCTATCTCTCTTTTAATTTCTTTATTACCATCTGTAAGGAAATATTTAAGTTTTTGCATTATCTCTATATATGAAAACGTTTCTTCTGCGGGACAACAGAGTGACATCATCACGTCACTCTGCGTCCTGCCTGCCTCCTCCCTCCCTTCTCTTTCTCCAATGTTTAGCTGCCATGAGAGGTCTGGGGAGGCCCCAGAGTGGCCCCTCCTCCCCCCCCAGGTGCTCCGGGAGGCAGGGAGGCTGAAGCCACGAGTCGCATAGCCCGGGACCCACCCAGTCTTTCCTCTCCCCGTCTTCCCTAGTACTCAGAGGGCAGGGGGGAGGCAAAGCTGCAAGGAACCTCGAGAGGTCAAGTTCAGTCCCCTGCCCACACGGCAGGACCAAGTACCATTTAGAATGATCATCCCTGATAGATGTCTGTCTAACCTGCTCTTAAATATGCTCTCAAATATTTGCATCCACTGATGCATTTCCCACAACCTCCACGGGCAATTCATTTCAGTGTTTAACCACCCTGACAGCTAAGAAGTTTTTCTAAATGTCCAACCTCAACCTTCCTTGCTGGAATTTAAGCCCATTGCTTCTTGTCCTCTCCTCAGAGGTGAAAGAGAACAATTTTTCTCCCTCCTCTTAGTTACTCCCTTTTCGGTACTGTCATGTCCCCCTTCCGTCTTCTCTTTTCTAAACTAAACAAGCCCAGTTCTTTCAGTCTTCCCTCATAGCTCATGTTCTCTAGACCTTGAATCATTTTTGTTGCTCTTCTCTGGACCCTCTCCAATTTCTCCTCAATTTAAAACCTTGGTTGTGTATATACACTTGCCTGCTTTAACATTGTAATGCCTCGCTGATTTCTTAGTTAATAAATCCTTACGTAGTTTACTACAGAATGGGCTACAACTATTGTCTTTGGTGTGAGATCAAAGGGACACATGTATCTAGGGTGAGGGACTGGTCCTTTGGGACTGAGAGGCATTGGATATTTTGTGATCTTTGGTACATAGAAACTGTCTAGTGGGAAGCCCAGCTTGCCCGGGTGCAGAGTAGAGTGGATTGCTTGAGAGGCCTGCCTGTGCCTCCAAGGTAACTAGGCCAGAGTGCTTTGGGAAACTCCACTCCCTGCTGCTGCGATCCAGTTATGGAACATAGAACAAGTTTGGGGGTCTCTGCCCTGCGTCTTCACAGTCATGAGCTGGCCCGCCAACAGCAATTGAGGGCTCCAGGGCAGCACAATGGAGCCCTCACAAGCTGTGCCCATGTGGACGTGGTCTGCCTGACATTTG